ATATGTGGCCTTTATATTTGACTTCATTCATTCACCATTAGATTTTCAATTTTCACCCATATTGTAGCATATATCAGTTCTTCTTTATTTTTCTTGCTAAGTATGATTCCTTTTAATGAATATATCACATTTTATTAAGCTACTCAATAGTGGTAGACACTGGGTGGTATCTGCTTTGACTATTATGCATAATTATGTTACAAACGTTTGTATTTATATTTGGGTGTTTTCTGTTTTCTGTTCTTTTGGGTAACTATATAAGAATGGAATTACTGGGTCATACAGTAGCTCCGTGATATGACATGACATGAGTTTGAGCAAACTCTGGGTGATAAAGACAGGAAAACCGGGTGTGCTGCAGTCCACGGGGTCACAAAGAGTTGGGTGTGACTTAGCAACTGAACAACAACCACAAAGAGTAGCTTCATGTTTAAATATTAGAGGAAATGCCAAACTGTCTCCTACAGTGGCTACATTTTACATGCTCACCAGCAGTGTATGAGACTTCCAGTTTCTCTATATCTTATTTTCCTTTTCCTTTAAAAAATTATAACCATCCTAATGGGAGTAAAGTGCTATCTCATTGTGGTTTTGATTTGCATTTCCCTAAGGGTAATGATACTGAACATTCTTTCATGTGCTTATTGGACATTTGTTTACCTTCTTTGGAGAAGTGTCTATTCAAATCTTTGGTCCGTCTATAAATTGGGCTACTATCTTTTCATTGTTGAACTATAACAATTATTTAGATATTTTGGGTACTAGATCTTTATCAGGTAGTGATTTTCAAATGTTCTGTCATTCTATGTGTTTTCACTTTCTTGATAGTCTGTTCCTTGATGTACACATTTTAGCGCAGTTCAATCCATCTTTTTTTGTTTGTTGCTATGTTTTTGGTATTATATTTAAGAAATATCTGCTTAATCTAAGGTCATGAAGATTTACACTAAGATTTCCTTTTTAAGAATTGTACAGTTTTAGCTCTTATATTTAGGTCTCTGATCCATTTTGAGTTAATTTTTGTATATATTAAAAGTGTGAAGAAGAGCATCAAATTCAAAGCCCAGAAAGAGTCTGGGCAAGGAGCAAAATGTTTCTCAGAATCATTCAGCAATGAAAGAGAAAATTTCTTTTTCTTTTTTCCTACGAATGCTAAAAAAGACCTAAAGTTTCAGAATAAAAATATTAGATACCTTTTATTGAGTGCTTACTGTTCCAGTCACTGTCATAAAAAAGAACACACTTAGGTTCTTTTTCACGATATTTAATTCTTACATCTGTGCTATAGTGTGGTATCTTATGTCAGCAGAACACGAGTCAAGTAGTCATCTACACATGTGATTTTTAAGAAACCATTTTGAGGAGAAACAAGGGATGGGGCAGGAGGACAGAGAAGCGGAAGAAGCCAAATAAGAACGTGTTTCCACAACCTAGATGTCCATCAACAGATGAATGGATAAGGAAATTGTGGTACATATACACAATGGAATATTACTCAACTATAAAAAGGAATGCAGTTGAGTCAGTTCTAATGAGGTGGAGGAACCTAGAGCCTATTATACAAAGTGAAGTTAAATCAGAAAAAGACAAATATCAGGTATTAGCACATGTATATGGAATCGAGATAGTACTGGCAATCCTACTTGTAGGGCAGGAAAGAAGAAACGGACATTTTGGACACAGTGGGGGAAGGAGAGGGTGAGATGATATGAGAGAATAACATTGAAAACATATACATTATCATATGCAAAAGAGAAGACAGTGGGAGCTCTATGGATGATGCAGGGAACCCAAAGCCAGTGCTCTATGACAACTTAGAGGGGTGGGATGGGGAGGAAGGTGGGAGGGGTTTCAAGAGGGAGGGGACATATGGATACCTAATGCAGATTCATGTTGAAGTATGGCAAAAACCATCATCATAATATTGTAAACTGATTATCTTGTAATTTAAAAAGCTAATAAAATTTAAAAAGGACAAAAAGAAAAAAACAGGCTTCCAGGAATACTCCGGCAGATGATGCTTCAGCCTGATCCCACAGAGGAACTCTGGACTGTAAACTGCAACTCATATTTATCCACCAGGAGGTCAATGAGCTAGACTTTTATTTTCCTTAATCGTCAGTCATTGGCTAAGGGCTATCCAGGGGATGTATAAACACGGAGGTGCTGGGGCTCACTCTGCCTGTGGGCAGAGGTGGTCTGGTAGCCAAGGGCAGCTCCTCCAAAGAAGAGTCAGGTGCTTTCAGGTGGTGAGTGGTAGAGCTGATTACTGGAAACAAAAGGAAGCTGAAGCTGGAGAAAGGGTGTTTCAAAAATATAAGGGGGACCCAAGAGGATCTGAGAAAGCACCCATGAGTCTGCTGCAGATACTTATATTTTTTCCAGTTTAGACAGAAAGAAACAGAAAGGCTAAGTAAGAGTCACTAGGAGAACGAGTGCCAGCATATCTGACTCCAAACTCCTTTCCCCTTTAATGTGGTACCTCCAGTCATGAAGATGCTCTCATGGGAACTTCTCATTCTCTCTTAGGAACTTCCAAGAATCTCCTTTCTCGTATATCATTGGGCTGTTTTCTTCAAACAGTAAACTTTTTCAGATATTCTTTGAGATCTGTAATGCATACAGAATCTTGTATGTGTGTGTGTGTGTGAGTGCATGCGTGTGCTTTTATCTTCTGGGAAGAGAATCTATGGCTTATGCAAATTTCTTAATGGAATATAAAAAACAAAATGTTTAGAAGCATTATTTTAAAAAGATCATTTTCTATATTTACCTATTTTCTTGCCTAGGATATTTTTTTTTTACTTGCTTACCACTCTTTTGTCTCTTAAATCATTGTTCTTAGGAGCTCAAATTATGATCATCACAAATGGCAATTTAGGATGATAAAATATTTTTCTTCCCTTCTCAGAGCACCACTCTTACTGCATCTGAGAGGGATTGGTATGAACTCTTTTTTAAACATTTGGTATAATTCAGCATTCAAGTCCTCTTGTCCTAGGCTTTTATTGTTGGAAATGTTTTTATTACTGATTCAATTTCTTTTCTTATAATAAGTCTTTCAGATTTTTATTTCTGACCAGTAGTACAAAGAATTTACATATTATTTTGTTAGGGGGAAAGAGTTTACTTAAAAATAAAGCAAAAAGTTCACTTGGGGCCTTAAGTGGTTTGTGTTTTCACTGATCAATTCAACTGGATAATTGCCAGATATTCACTTAGTGTCTGTATGACATACACGCACACATACAACCTGGCCATCAAGTGATATTTTTAAAAAGCTATTTTTAAATCCTAGTAATTTTCTTGAATGTTTTTCTTATGATTATGCGATACAAGTGGACAAAGTCTTTCTGTGTGCAGTTAACCACTAGGACTTCCTTTATAGAGTGAGTCTGAGGGTGTCTCTGTAAAGAAGGGACATTCTAAACTTTAGCACTGTAGGGCTGAGCCCCATGGACTGAGAAAACTCTGAGGCTTTGCAGAGAGGGTTATTGGGTAGAGGAGACTGATACTCAAGGTTGTAGGGCGTGGTGGTGGTATAGACTTAGAGCTTTGGGTGCCTGGATAGATGGATGGCCCCAACCTAGATCCAGGCTCTGGAGGTACCAGGAGAAAATCTCTGACAGAGAAGTGGTGACTTTCCCATAAGTTATGCTGAAAAGTGGGTAAGGGTCAAATACACTCATAATCTTAGCCACTTTGGCCAAGTAATGCTCTTAAGATTGTTTTACTCCCACCTATAATCCACCCTTCAGCCATCCACCACCTTGGGTCCCATTTTGCTTTTTCCATGTTATATTTGGATATAATATAGTTTAACATTGTTAAATTTCAGGAGTGATCTATCTTACTAATGCTCCAAATGAGGATGGCAGGCTGCAGGTTGTGGTGAAGAAGTGTGAATGAAAGCAAGATATCTGCTCTCTCTGGAGAGCGCCAAACATATAGAGAGTAAGCACAGGGCAATATCTGTCAAAAGAACAGAAGATGGAAGGAAGGAACGATTCTGTGTCAATGAGGCAACACGGAGCCCAAGTTTACTGATTTCTTCTTAAAGAGAGAACAAGATATTTCCCCCCATACACGACTGTCTCGGCATTTTAGATTGGAAATGAAATGTGGCAACTTCATTTTTTCATTTCCGCAAACGTCCACTGCACTACTACCAGGTAGGAGGGGTGAGGAGTCGTCAGGGACGCGTTTACATTACAAAATATGTAGAGAGTGGATGCATCTTTTCCTCTAAGCTCAAAGCCAGAGTCCCAGAGGGCAGAGAGTCAGGCATTCTGCGCTGGGGAGCAAGGCGGTCTTCCCACTTGTGGGACGAGATGGCGTCTGTCCGGGTCACTGGGAAGACCCCTCACCACCCCCCACCCGCCACCGCCCAGGATTACTCTGGGAATAAATCTACCCAGACCACGTTATGCAAAGACTGAGCGGTGCTCTGGGGTCCCCCTCTTCTGGCCCGGGCGTGGAGATTCGGGGCTGTCCCCGGAAGCATCCTTGATGTCACCTGAGCGTTGAGGTGGGGAGAGTTGCTTCTCCTCTCCCTCGCCCCCCCCCCAGCCCCACCCCGAGCTGACAGTGTCGCTTTCTTGGTTCTTTGGAGAGCTTTGGGTGTGGAAAAGTGTCCTCGGTCCCAGCTCAAGATGGGAGAAGAGGAAGCAGAGGGAAGGAGATGTGGGGAAAGGGACTTCCTTGCTCAGGCTTGACTCGCGCAGGTGAGGAAGTGAGTTCTGAGCAGAGCATCTGTCAGGATGGCAGACAGGTGGAGACAGGCAGTCCCGCCTCGGCCCACCCGGTTCCCAGGGAGGTCAGAGCTGTACCTGGGCCGGGCCTTTCTTCTCCGCGACGCCCGGGGGATCCCGAGCCGCGGCCTCCGCCTCCGCCCCAGCGGCCCCGGGTCCCCAGCCCCGCCCCGCCCCGCCCCGCCCCGGCCTCCCGGCTCCGCGGGGCGCCGGTCGAGCGGCGGTGCCCAAGCCTCGGCGGCCAGGAGGATGGCCAAGGTCCCGGAGCTGGAAGACGCCTTCCTGCAGGCGCAGGCTTCTCCCCCGGTTTCCCCCGAAGTCCAGGAGGAGTGCTGTGTGCAGCTCCTGGGCAAGGGTTTGCTCGTTTACCCCGAAGAAAGGGTGTACCTGGCGGCCGGAGCGCAGCCGGGGCGCGCGCTGGGCAGCCGGGAGAAAGCGGACGACCCGGAGCTGCCCGGGGGAGTTAAAGCTGGTGAGTGCTCTGCCCTCCCGGGACGTGACTGGGACTCGGATATGGTTCTAAAAGGGCCTCCAATGATAAAGATAAACACATCGCAAACGTACTTGTGTTTTCCCTAGGAAAATGCTGGTCAAATAGAAATTAAGTCTAAGGGATTTTGTGTAACTCTCCTCCGAACCACCCCCCCCAAAGACCACCCCGTTTGACGCCAAGATACATTTAGGGGCTAATTAATTGATGTTATATTCTGGTTTTCTTTATCATCTTTTCAAATGGCAATCAGAAATGCATTTAAGCAATGGTAACTTTTCCTCCGAAGAAGAGGATGCGGATAATCCAGACAGCAAAACCAAAGTAGCCGATCCACATCTCTCACAGAAGAAAACCATCACACAGATTATGAAGGATAAAAAGAAGCAGACCCAGCTCACTCTGCAGTGGTAAGGCTCGCTTGAGGGTGCCTGTAACACCTGCTGAATTTTTAAAGTCAGTATATTCAGATTTGCTTTTCTCCATTTGGTTCTCTCTCTCAAACTTTCTTGGAGGAGTTTAAAAGATCAATTAGAAATTCATCCAGAAATTGTTTCACTGGATGTTTGGTATAGAGACATATTCTGGTACGGGTAAAAAATGATCTGCGATGCAAATAAAAACCATCACTTTATTCATTATTGGCTAATTTCTTTGTAATTTCTTTGTTGTAGTTTCATTATTGTAATTTCTTTGAAAGTAAGCAATAATGAATTTTTTATGACTTACTTATTTAACATGCAATCAACTCAGCCCTTATATATTTGTTATTTGGTAATTTTATGTTTATAAAACATGATTCTTAAAAATAACTTAAAAAGAGGAAGGATCTTAACATTACCTTTTACCATAGAGTGCAAATTCAAAATTGTGTATCAATTGTGTATCAGTTCAGCCATAAGATGAAATATGTTTGAACTAGAAGACATAGATCAATCAGTTAAAATGGTGCTATTAACTTAAATATTCAACTATTTTTATAGTAGCTTTTATATATGATTTATTACAGTGAAATATCACTAATTAGATTTTGTGGAAAATCTTTTAAAATCAAGAGTTTATCAGTAGGCTCTCTAAATAAAGGTCCTACAGAAACTTTTATAATATTGTTTCAAAAGGAAGAGGAATCTAAAGTAAAAACACAATATTAAACTTCCCTTTGTAGGGTAAAGAACTTTCCTCCCAAATTCCAAATAGGATGCAAATAAGTAAAAATGTCTATTTGTTGATAAGTTAACACAGTCTGTTTATATGTAAAATGTGATCTAAATCTTAGAAAAATACAATAGAAAAAACAGTATCTTAATAAAAACTAGTACATTTTATTTCATTTAAACATTGAATTACAATTTGCATATACTAAATGTTTGTGATTGTGTCCTTAATTCTTCCCAACATTTGAAATATAACCTTAATTTCCTTCTAAATTTATGGTTTATCTATTAAAGTTGGTATCTCATTTATTAGTTAAGAATATACTAGAGCAGTAAATAATTGAGCTAATTATCTTAAATATTTAGGAAGCTGCTATTTTCTTTAGGATAATTGGAGCAAAAAGGTTTTGACTTCAAATATATTATGAAGGCTTTTTGAATGATCACTTCCATTCAATTTGAGTGAATGGGAACAAACTTGGGTTTTTATTTTATAAATACATTACAATTAAAGAAAAAAGTCATATCCAAAATTAAGATTGTATTTATGTCTAGGATTAGTCAGTATTTTGAAGACAAAAACAACGCCAACAATGTCAATATAGCCAGGTGAAAAAGTGGACATTATATGTGTCATTTAAATAGTTGAATATTTCTCAGTAATTTTCATATTTTTTGAGACTATAAATTATCATCATTTTTGTTTGAACTGTCACACTCTCACCCCCTCCCAAAGAGATGCATAGTTTTAAAAAAACCTACGTGAGTTATTTACCTTTTGATAATTTTCCCTTATAATTACAGATTATAGTGGGGATGTTAAAAATTAGAATTAAAAATTAAAGTGAAAAAATCTGCCTGAGTAACATCAATTATCACTGTCAACTAGGTGTTTGGTTTTAAGTATGCAAATTTTACTGGGATTTCCATCTTTCTATGACAAAGGAAATAAAGAACCAAATCCCAGGAAACACACCCTGTAGCTTTTATCTAACACACCTTGGGAACATGTTAAATCAGATATCTTGAAAAGTTTCACTCAATTTTAACCTGAATGTATATTCTATATTGTGTTGCTCCTGTATAGTAGTAATTATGATTTTACTGTATATAAAGAGAATGTAAGTAAATTTTAGCCATTATCATCTACTGTAAGGGTAGAAGAATTGAAAGCAGAATCCACAAGTTCTGATTTCTTGATTGCTGTTCAGGTATTTGTAACACTTAAATATATGTTATTACATTGATATAAATTGTGTGCAATTGCAATTGCTGGTATCCAAATTAAATGGAATTATTTCTAAATTTTCAAAGATTATATGATTATGTTTATAATATAGAACCAAATTTAGTGTCATGTTTGGAGGCATCTATAGAGAATAACATTATGTCTCGTGAGTACAGGATCTTTTAGGTAATTATAAGTACTGATTACAGCAAAAAAGGGTAGAGATAGAAATAAATTGGTACTATTTCAAACTCAAAGTTAATTTATGCTTATGTATTTTGCAAATAAATGTGTCACCATACTTCCCTAACTATTCAGTGTTCAGAACTACTTTGTAAGTGAAAGTAAGAGATTGTAGGCATTCACCAACCTGAAGCCTCTCGAGAATGTTATTTTAAAAAACCATCACGTTCAATTTCACTATTCAAATTTGGTTATCACACAGCAAAGCATGATGAACAGTGAAGATTTACTCAGAAGTAAGGCATATTCAGGCACGTGGACCAGGCAGAAGTGATTTTGTCCTAGCCATGGTGTTTTAACTGCACTAACAGGTGTTTACTGAGGTTCTTGCTCTTCTAACTTTATTTCTTGTGATCGTATTTTTAATATTATCCAGAATAAAAGAAGTCTACTTATGTCTGGTCATGAACTCATTTATATAGAGTCTGTGTTCAAAAGGAACACTAAAAAATGTGAGGGGGGAAGGAAAGAAGAAATAAAAAAAAAAGGTTTGAACTAATTCTTTGCCCTTTTTCTTAGGCTTGAAGAGAATTACATTGTATGTGAAGGAGTTTGCTTACCACGGTGCATCCTTTATGCACACTATCTAGATTTCTGCAGGAAAGAACAGCTGGAGCCAGCCTGCGCAGCCACCTTTGGAAAGGTAAATACCACATTTTGGCTATACTACCTTACAACTAAAGTCATGTGAGGCAGGCAGTATGGAAAGAAAAATTAACTGTTCAAGTTTTCATACAGAATATTAAGAGATCTGTTTTGTAAATGAAATCTCTTAAGGACTGCATTTGGAACTACTATATGTTTAATGTAGATTTTACCTACTGTTTGTTTTACCTTGAACTGTAATTGTATATGTTTTAAATATTAGAACCCTGGCTATCAGAAGATTTAATGTGACCTTAAAAGAAGCTCATTTGAAGCTCCATTCCCTTCAAAGAGGGATACATTAAAAAGAATGATATGGCCTGTACTGAGAAGCAAAACTAAGTGGAAATGACAAGTATCTTGTTAATATAATTGGTGATTGCATTTATTCTATTTCATAAACAGTTCTCTTAATCCTTCATTTGCTCTTAAGTATATTTACACCCCAAACTCCCAAAGTGTTGTGATGGGATTGGTTAAATTTCTCTCCTTTAAAAATACTCCTTTTTACTGAACCTGTGTGGTTAGGATGGGAATCTCTATAACTGAATGCTTCTGTATTTACATACATGGGTCTCATTTTAAGAATTGGGAAACAGTTTCTGTCTCTTGAGAAAGTCTTGTTTTTTGAGATTCTCGTCCTGCTGTATTGTCTCAGATATCCCAGAAAAATTGGAAGTTTAGATCTCAGCTATTACTTCTCTTAGCAACTGAAATCCAAATTCTAGCCTGTAGAGGGACTCATTGTATTAGAAAATAATGATGACTATGGTCTGCTTCTCATTTTTTTTTAATAAAATAATTTATGAATTTATTTTGAAAACTTATCTGTTTACAGCACACAATGTGATGAGGACATGGTAATCCAGTGATTTTGGTTCCAGCCTAGACTAATTTGTTAGGAGACCTGAAAAGCACTTAACGTCCTCAAAACTCAGTTCACTCATTCTATAAAATGAGGAGGTTGCATAAGATGACTTCTAATATCCATTTTAGCCATAATATTTTACTAGGCCTCCTTATGATAGTAATTCTTAACTGTTTGGAGAGCCATGAAACACTGAGGATATGATAAAAAACTATAGAACCAGTCCTCAAGAAATTGACGCATATTAATGCATAAAGTTTGCCATGGAGTCTTTAGAAGATCATGTCTGGATCTCCTAAGATTCAGGTTAAAAACCGCTGTTTTTATGCAGGAGAGATTTTTGTTCGTTACTCAAGCGCTAATTTTTAGCCAGTTTAGAGAAAAAGAATTTAAAACACTAAAATTTGAAACCACAGAAAAGAAAAAATTTAAAACACTGCTGTGGAGATCTGGTAAGACAAAGAAAATTCCCATGTCCTTACAGAGCTGGAGATAGATATTTAATTTGGGTAAATCTCTACAAAGAATTACCATAAAGAAACCCAAATCTTCCCACAAAGTATATCAATAAAGTAATAATTGATCTTGTAGTAACATCAAGCAAGAGCACATATTGGTATAATCTGCTTTGGAAATTGAGAAAAGGGCAATGGAACAATATCATCAAAAAAAATACCTCTCCCTGTGCAGATGTGTCATTATGTATCAATATGTGTATGACATTATTTTTTCCAGACTAAATATTTACTCAAAGCTCAACATTTGTTTTCTAGAATTAATTGATCATGAGAGCCTTGCCATAGAACCACACACCTCCTAAAAACTAAAGTAATTGACTTTCTTTTCAGACAATTCGTCAAAAATTTCCCCTCTTGACAACTCGGCGGCTTGGAACAAGAGGCCATTCAAAGTAAGGCACATGAATGAGCATATTTCAGATCTGTACAACATGGTACCTTATACATGAGGACTAACACAGTGTGAAACAAGGATTGTCTTTATTGATGAATAGAACGAGGTATTCTCTTCTTGATAAAGCAGAGAACTGCTTTACTAACTATTAAGACCTAAAAAGAAAAAAAAAATAAATGAATTTTAAAATAATGTTTAAAAAGCTAAATTTACACAGAAAAATCATTTTTTTCTGGTGAAATAATCTTTTTTATTTATTTTACATTATTTATTTGTTTTTGGCGGTACAGGATCTTTGTTGCTGCTTGGGCTTTTCTCTGGTTTCAGCAAGTGGGGGCTGCTCTAGTTGAGGTGCACAGGTGTCTCATGGCGGTGGGCTCACTTGTTCTGAGCACAGACTGTAGGGTGCACAGGCTTTAGTTGTGGTTCCCGGGCTCTAAAGCACAGACTCAGTAGTTATAGTGCACAGGCCGTTGCTCCATGTCATGTGGGATCTTCCCAGACCAGGAATCGAACTTGTGTCTCCTGCATTGGCAGGCGGACTCTATACCACTGAGCCACCAGGGAAGTCCTCTGGTGGAATAATCTAAATGAATCATTTATATAATGTTAAAGCCACGGCTGAAGGTACCAGCATCATGAAAAGGAAATGCAAACGGATACCTAAGTGACTGGGTAGAATCCACACACTTCCAAAGAGCAGGAAGGGTCAGGGAGGGTTTGAACACGGTCCAGGTTCTTCCTCTGGTTTTCTTTCCCAGATAATAATTTCTTTATATTACCCTCTTTTCTATTCAAGACAAATGACAGGCACAAATGACTCAATGGAAATATAAATATAAAATAAACAGTCACGTTTTCTCTCTGTTGATAACATTAGCTTTTACTTATTTCTTGGGACAATTTCTGCAGAATCTTCAGTTACAGGTTCCTGTTCATCTGTTATTTCTTTTGTCCACCATTTTTTTTAGTTTTTCCTTTCCTAATGTCTACAGGCATATTAAGATCTCTTCTGTGTTGATAAAAATAAAATTATCTCAAACCTGCTATACTCTTCAATATTGCTGTTATTTTTCTTCTATGCTATTTCTTGAGAGTAGCTATCTGTTCACTTACCTTACCACTGATCACATACCTCAGTCTTGTCCATTTCTTTACCTGGGCAAAAACTCAATGGCCTGTTTTTACTGTTACTGATCTTCCTAGGCACCTGTCTAGAGTTTGAATCCACTGATAATGTACTCTTAAAATAAATAAATGCATAAAGCTTCCGCTATGGCTTTTCTGTCACACCACTATCAAGTCTTTTTCCCTCTTCTGTCGCTTGTTTTCCAGTTTATCCAGTGTCTCTTTCTGCCCTAACATCTAGTCCAGCATTGTCCAAAAAAATATAATGCAGCCACATATTTAATTCAAAATTTTCTAGAAGCCACGTTAAAAAAGTAAGATGAGACAGATGAGATTGACTTTAATATGTTTTATTTAAGTCAACATATCCAAAACATGACAATTTGACCATATAAAAAATAAAATTATTGATGAAATATTTTACATTCTTTCTTTCCTACCAGTGTTTGAGATCCCACGTGTATTTTATAACTGCACTACATAGCAATTCAGACTAGTCACATTTCAAGTGGCTCAGTATACACATGTGATTTGTGGGTATTCTATTGGCTAGCTCAGCCTTAGTCATTTGCCAAAAAAATAGATCCTATTTCATTATGAATTCTCTTGAATCTATGTCTCTCTCCATTAATATTTTCAAAACCTTACCTTGACGCTGTCTTTCTAGTCTGTTCAATATAGTTCTCATCTTGACCTTGTGAAGTTCAGATTCAATCTTTTCTCTGTCATCCTCAGACATTTCCACCTGCTCATGACAAACTTTTCTAACCTTGACACTAAAGGTCCATTACGATTTAGTGCCAAACCATTTTCTTATTATCTGCGCCTTGCTTTTCAGCATGCAGCCTGTGCTCTCACCAGTTTATTGATCAGTTAGTTCTCTTTGCTTCCCTCTCAACTGCCACTGTTTTGTTCATGCTGTCTTCCTCCATGGAAGATCTCCTTTTCCCTAGAAGGCAGTTGAAACCCTATCCATTTAAAAGAATGTCTCCTGAACTTCCTCTTCTTTTGAATCTTTTCTTTGCCTCTTGACGGTTTGTACGCTTTTCCTTTGCACCCTCATAGCAGTTTTTGATACCTATCCTAGTGGGAAATTAACTTATCTCTTCCTCTCAAAAGATAGTGTTTTGAGGATAGAGACTTTGTCTCACCCATTCTTGTATTCTTTCTGTGGTCTGCTATGTAATAGATTGGACTCCCCTGGTGAAAGGTAAAGTTGCTCAGTGGTGTCCAACTCTTTGCAACCCCATGGACTATACGGTCCATGGAATTCTCCAGGTCAGAATATTGGAATTGGTAGCATTCTGTTTCTCCAGAGGATCTTCCCAAGCCAGGGACTGAACCCAGATCTTACATATTCTGGGCAGATTCCTTACCAGCTGAGCCACAAGGGAAGCCCAGGACTTCCCTGGTGGATCAGTGGTAAAGAATCCTCTGGCCAATGCAGGAGATGTGGATTTGATCCCTGGGTTTGATTCCCTGGATTGGGAAGACCCCTCGGAGAAGGAAATGGTGACCCACTTGAGTATTCTTTCCTGGGAAATTCCATGGACAGAGGAGTCTGGTGGGCTACAGTTCAAGGGGTAGCAGAAGAGTCAGACACAACTTAATACCAAAACAAAACAAAAGCAATATAACTGGTTATCAATTAATATTTATTTCTATTAATGTTAATAGTACTGTGACCTGAGAAATGAAATGCAAGATTTAAAAAGACAAAATTGGCTCGTTCCTTCTAACCAAATCAGCTTTTTTTCAAAGTTGAATCAGTTTAACTAGCTAATTTGTACTGAATTTGATTCCTGCTGGACTGTGTAGGGAGATAAAAGATTAAATAGTGTTCGAGGTAATAGGCAGTGGAAAAAGAGGCTAAGCAATGCAGAGAAATCCTCTTCACAGGGTCTACAAGAGGACAAACAGGCAGGCTGCAGAGAAAGTCAATTAATCCCAGAAGGAGCCTTTAGGATTAGGGATGAATCATTAACCTCGTCCATTGTGACAGTGAGGCTCCAGTGTGTAGGTTTATGTTGTTACAATATGTAGTGACTTCAGGGAGTTTGTTTGGTATCTAACAGCTGATGCCCAAGAGCATAGCGTTGACAATTTGAATTTGTTCCTATTTTGCTGATATGCCATTTGCTTTTTATAACTTGCATATTATACTTTTGGTATTTTGATATCATGGGCAAATTTTTTTCTATGTATCAGCTAAGTATGTTGAATGATATGGCAAGCTGTAGAGTTCATGTATTTTGTCACTGTTCATATTTTGATGATGTAATTTTTCTTAGTGAGATGATTTTCCCGACTTTCTTCATTTCCAAGAAATACTCTTAGACTTTTTTTTAAATCTTAGAAGATAATATATCAAAAGGTAGAGTCACCTAGTGGTTAGGAGTATGAGGCTTAAAGTTGAACAAATCTGAGCTTTAATCCCTTATTCCCATATATAACTGGGTGAGTTGTTCAGCTTTTCATCAAGAAATTGGCTATGCCATTAGCTATTAGATTTGGTGTGAGAATTAAATGAAAAAAGTATAGAAATGAATGGAGACATGAATATGCTTTCAACCTCGCTATCCTTAATAGTAAAGAAATTATTATTAATAGTATATGAAAATAATAATATATTATTCACAGTGCATCCAAAAGTCATCAATACAATTAAAAGTTATTACTTATCAAGCACTACACACACATGCACACATACACACTCACTCTCTAATCTTTACGATGACAATACAAGGTTGGAATTACTGTGTCTTACAAAGGAGGAAACTGCAGTTCAAAGATCACTGACTTGCCCAAGGCCATACAGATACTATAAAATAACAATGCTGGCATTTAAATGAAGGTTTATTTTGCTCTGAAGTTTGTGCTTTAACAACTGATAAAATTTCTTCTTTCCAATATATCATATCAAAAAGTTGTTTAATTGAACTTTTGAGTTTTTGAGGTATATGTTTTATTTTTTCTGATATAGCAGTTGTAGATGTATGCTATTAGACTTTTCTTCAAAGAGCTAACATTTCTCAGGCATCAATCATAAGGCATTTAAAATTATTTTATATTTATTTAGAGATATTTTTGTATAAAAGCAAATTTGTAGCACAAACAGTTTTATGTTCTACTTTGAATTTTTGTCCAAAATTTCTCTATGTTGGCATGTCATCTTCACAATCATCGTTTCTACTGGCTGTTTAATATTTCAAAATTTTGCATTTTATGAAAAATATTTTTATGCGTTTGGAAATGTGAAAAATTGATGAAACAAACAAATGAAGAAGTGAGCATGTTTTGGAGAAACAAGATTTATAATTTCTCCCAATTTCACGAGTAATTTTGGAAAACTTTTGTTGTCATTTTTATAATAGTGCCCAGAATGTACTATCACTAAATATCTATTAAATTATTTCTAATATATGAACCAATTTAGTATTAATTTATTTATAAGTAAATAAATAATAAACACAGTCCTCCATCCTTCCATTCACTCTCACTATCCCCTCCCTGCCAAGGAAACCAACAATCCCAATGGCAGTTTCTGCATGTTCTCAATACCATTATAAAAACTGACTTTGCTTTTGAGGTTTTTTTCTCTCTTCTCTTTGATTCACCACCAATGTTGATAATATACTTTGATTTTTTTTCCTGTGAAAATTTTTAAATTTAGATTTTGAATAAATATAAATGGATCAAAATTCTATAGGTACAAAGAATGTTTAATGAAAAGTAATTCCTGCCTATTTTGTATCATGAATGTATTATTTTGAATGTAGTATATTATGGATTTTTATTGATGTACAAGGCATGATGCTAAAGAGTTTTAGACAATAGTAAGATAGGGTACATAGTGTCAAAAAACTTTCA